GCTGGCCCGGGCAGGCAGGCAGCGCTGCTTCCCTCCCCCCCACCAGGGCGGCCCCGTGTGGAGAAATCCCGCCTTTTCCACCCATTTATGGCTCCTCGTTATGCTAAACCCTTTCATTACCTCCTTTTTCCCCAGGAGAGCACCCGACAGCTCCAGCTCCCCTCAGCTTGGTTTGTCTGCCCCTCAGGGCTTCACCCACGTAGGGGAAGAAAAAAAAAAAAAGCCTTTTTTTCACCCATTTTATGGATCCTCTTAACCACTAAAGCCCGCGATTCCCTCCTTGTTGGGCTTGGAGCCCCCAGGTGATGAGGGGGCAGCTCCTCTCAGGCCGGGCTGCCTCCCCTCAGGGCTGTTAGAAATGAAATGTGTTGATTTTTGCCTTCTAGTGTTCGAAACATAATGTGGGGTTTGGCTTATATATATATACACATCCTGGTGTTAGAAATATATAGCTGGTTTGAGATAAGTGAGATATCTGACACCAGGAGTGGTTTAAATACATAGTTTGTTTGAGATAAGTGAGATCTCTGCACATTCTAAGGACACCAGGAGGGGTTTGTGGCCCAAGGAACTGAGGGAGTGAATTGGGCTCCATCTGGGGATCCCAACATGGAGCAGGGTTTATGGCCCAAGATCAGACCCAACAAAGCCCCTTCTGTCCTGCTGCTCAGGGCAGGATGGCACCAGTACGTTTGTTAATTGGGGAAACAGTCAAGGGGGCAAGAAAGGTCAGAATTACACCTTAAAAGGTAAAAACTAACCTGCTAGAATGGAATATGTGAACAGGGGTGGGAAACTTAGAGGATCATTGGAAGCGTCGGATGGGCTGTGAACCCTGGAGTGCCCAGCCAGTGGGGAAACAGGGGAGGGAACTTTGGGAATAGGGAATATAAACCGTTATTCACCTGACTATGGGTGTGCCTGCTTGTTTAGGTCACCCATTCTTGCAAGAGCGTAAATAACCTGTGCTTTGTTGAAGGGTCTGTGTGGGCCTGTTCGTTGGCACCACAAACGTTTCTCAGAGGGCTGCACCCGTATGGGGAAAAAACCCACCTTTTTCACCCATTTATGGCTCCTCATGACAGTAAAGTCCATGATTCCCTCCCTGTGCCTGCCCTGGGACAGCACTTGCCAGACAAGGGGACAGTCCTGGTGAGGTACAGGGAGAATGGTGGTGGCTCCAGCTCCCCTCAGCTTGGACCGTTCCCCTCTGGACTTCACCACCTATGTGGGGCAAAAAAAGCCTTTTTCACCCATTTATGGCTCCTCAGAACACTAAAGGCGCCAATTCTCTCCCTGTGCCTGCCTCAGGAGGGCATCTGTCCAACAAGGGGCATCCCTGGGTGAGGCAGCAGGTCCCCTCAGGCAGTGCTACCTACCCTCGGGGCTGTACCCACGGAAGGGAAAAAATGCCCAATTTTGGCCAATTTGGCCCCTTGCAATGCTAAAGCATCGACCCTTACTCCCCCCTTCGCTCTTGCTTCAGCAGGGCTTGGCATCCAACATGGGCTTCATCATCCTTCTCCACATTGGCCCATGTGGTGTGTCAGCAGAACCGTGAGTGGGCTTTTAAGGGCATTTTTCAGCTTTTTTTTTGCCCAAAAGCTGCTGAATTCCACCCAAAGCACTAGGCTGAGAAGGAGGGGTGTAGGTCACTGCTGCCAAGGATGGTGCTTTGAGGGTCAAGGGTGCTGTGTGGCATTACGTTTTTTTAACATGGCTTATGTGTTCCCAGCAGGAGTGAGTTCAAGTGGAAATAGGTGGCTGTGGAAAAGTCAAACCAGAGGGAATGTGACATTTGCAGCCTGGGGCAGATCCAGCCAGAACAGTGAACAGAGAGGCACCCTTACCAGCTATAATCCTCACACCCTGCTGGCATCACTGGCAGCACGGCATCAGGGCATTGTAGTGGCCTCTCCAGAAAAGCTTAGAAGGGCTTAGAAAAGCAAAGAATACAAAGAGGCATCCGGTGGAAAAGCCTGAGCAAGCCTGTGACACGTTGGGTTATAAAACAGCTTGGGCAAATGTGCAAGCAAAACATCCCCCAGTGCTCTAAGCATTTGCAAAAATGCCTCAATACTAAACAGTTATCAGCTTGTAGCTAAGGGAACTGAATTATTTGCAGCTAAAGCAAGGCTTGAGGTTATCAAGGACATCTCAGGTCTCAGGAAAAGGGCTTAGCTTTTGGTCCATAGAAGGTCTTGAGGGGACTATGTTTAGGCACAGAAAGCTCAGGCACTTTACTCCCTGCCTACATGGTCTGGCTGTTGCTTTATATACAGTTGAGAAATTTCCTTGACTAAATAGATTTTCATGATGTATTTAGTCAACTAGTGATATTCTATTGGAAAGTATGAATGTCATCTGTCTCCCTCCTCACCAGTAACTAAACCAAAGTGTTAATGCAATAATGTGCTGAAGCTCAAACAGTTAATAGAATCATAGAATCAGAGACTAGTTTGGCTTGGAAAAGACCTTAAAAACCAACTAGTTCCAACCCTCCTTCAAGAGCAGGGACACCAGGTTGCTTCAAGCCTGTCTAACTTGGCCTGGAACAATTGCAGGGATGGGGCACAACTTCTCTGAGCAACCTGTATTTGTTCCAGTTAGGGCAGGCAAAGCTTTAAAGCTGAGGAAGAAAGGGCATAGCAAAATATAGGAAAAACTAAGTGTTTGAAAGCTTCTGGGTGAAATGATGGGCTCTGTGTTGAACCAGCGTTGTGACTTACCTGTCTCACAGCAACACTGTGCAGGGCTACTTGCCACGTTTCCTAGTGGCTTTGGGAAAGGAAACAGTCCAGGATGCAAAGAAAATTCTCTTGTTGAAGTCTCAGCCCTCTGTAGTGTGAGAGGTTACTTTCATCAAGCATAATGGAGACTTTTAGGGCAGATGGATGAGAGCGAGGATTTCGTCCTGTTGGTTTCATAGATATGCAGCTAAGAAGGGGTTGGATGTGTCATCTCTCAATACCTAGCAGCAAGCATGTCAGCTGTCAACAGATGGACCTCACTTGAATCATAGAATCATGGAACCATCCTGGTTGGAAGGGACCTGGAAGATCATCAAGTGCAACCATAACCTAAATCCCCCTACTATAACCTAATGTACCAGTTCAATGCTTAAATCATGTCCTTAAGCACCACATCTGTATTTCTTTTAAACACTTCCAGGGATGGTGACTCCACCACCTCCCTGAGCAGACCCTTCCGGTGTCCAACCACTCTTTGGGTAAAGAAATTCTTTCTAATATCCAGTCTAAACCTCCCCTGGAGCAGC